ATTTCTCGAATATTAAAGCAGTCATTAATACTTTTATATGCCGAAAAAAAATAGACTAAAAAATAAAAAATAAAAAATAATTTACATTTTTGTCGAAGACGGGATTCGAACTCTTGCGTACAACAAGAGGTGTATCGAAAACCAACGCTTAGACCACTCGGCTATCGCGCGCCGTTAATTACATGCTTGGCACTTTTCTCCAATATATACATTAAAATGGATTGAAAACGGCTCCGCGTGAGGGATGCTTCGCAAAAGCTCCATGAAACGGACCCTTCTTTTACTTTTGCAATGCATATTGGCACGAACTTAGATCAAGATCTATCGGCAGATGTTGTTTTTTTGTTTTTGAGAGTTAATTTTCGTCTTCATGTCAACAATGCAAGATAAAATTGTCGGTAAGATCGATCGAGATTCAATTGTATTGAAATTGCCGACCAATTTTTCGCACACGTATGGTATCCTCCATCGCTCAAACCATTTTTTAACATGTAAACCTATGGGGTAACCATGGAGACTGACCTATTTTTTTAATAACCATGGTTATTAAAAATATTGAAATGTTTTAAGCATGGTTACCGGGAATTTTACAGGAACAGTTGAAGTTTATGAATGCAATTCGACCAATCAGATGGCTGGATTTCTTAAGTGAGGTATATAATTAATAATAATTTGCAAGTGTTTGTTTTGCGTACAGTCATGATTCAGTGGCTAAGCAATGGCCTCGTTACTGTGAGCACCCAGGATAAAAACCGTGTCGATGTGCGATATTAGTGCCATTTTGTGAGACATTAATCCTCATTACTGTCAGTTATGACTTTAAGGACGTAAAACCCCTAGTTGATTAGCATAGTAGCACACACATGCTTTAGCGGTCACGCCATTTACACTCGCAAATTACTATTAAATAAATCTGAGAATTTATACTATTATCTATAATCTATTAGGAATAAATCATTGTCAAAATCATTCTATAAATTAGGGTAAAAATTATTATTCCCCTATTATGACCAACAGTGTAGACTATAGAAAACAAATACTGCCTGGTGTATCGCTTTAATAACTAACATTTCGTTTCCCCTCCAACCTTATATTTTTCCCTTCGCGCTTCGGGAAAATATAATCCCATGGGAGAATATTACCCTGTCGGGGAAATGAAATGTTATATCAAACCTCTAGGCAGTGTATTGGAAAAACAAAACAAAAGAAGTTGGTAAATGTGATCCTTAACATAATTAAAATTACCCCCCCCCCCCCCTCCCTAAAGAACTGCTCATAATTTCATAACCCTTAAGCCTCGGCTAGATCGACAAATCTAGCTCTTTCATGGCCTCTTTTACATTAATGGCCATGAAAGAGCTAGATTTATCGATCTAGGCCTAGGCCCTCTCCCTATCCGGTTCCTGAGCTACTCTCATAATTCTATTGACAATTTAGTATGCGCGGATATTTGGCTGGTTTTGAAGATTACTTGTTTCATTAATCTTAGTGTAGGATGACTTTCGATTTCAATCTTCACTTGATATGATGTTTTCTTTTTGTACTCACCTGTCCTTTCACACGTCATAGGGGCATACAGACTTACACACATACGCACGCACCCCTACACACGCACAAAATACCTACGCACACACTCTCGCACACACACCCCCACTCACCTACAGTTTAGCATCTTCCTGGAGACTACTAGAAATACCAACAAAGTCTTCGAGCTCACGCAAACGGAATTAACAGCAAGTTTTAACCCATCGCAATCCGAATCCAAATGCCAAAGAGTTAATTTCGATTAACACCATCGCAAAGATTTACAAGAAATCATCCAAAAACCAAAAACAAAAGGCTTGTGCACTTACTACTGAAATGTGCAAAATGACGTATTAAATGACGTTATAATCCAAAAATATGTGTTCTACAGACAGTACATAGTTCATTTCTTGAAAGTCTTTGCGACTATGTTGATGGGACTCATGTGATTGATAGGTCGTATTTGATATTTAGTTGATATTCTACTTAGCCTTTATCTGTGATTTTTGTACAGTTCAATACCCGTTTGCCAATTCCCACAATTTCAAATCAACTTCACTTCTATTGTTAGGCTATAACAACAAAATAAAATATACAGAGGAAATACACGTGACATACGAGCACACAGCAAAATATTTATTCTCATATCAATGATTACAAAGAGATAGATGGAATGGTAAGTTACTTTGACAAAATGAATGATGGTAACGAGTAAGTTCGAGATTGAAACACCATAGTACATCACAGATATTCTACTTCACCTCAATATCTTCATTAACACACATTAGTATCGCTACATTACCATGCAATTCACTCCACACCTTCATGTTCGTCATGAATATTATTATTTTTTACATTCAAAATTCTTACATGGTCCAGAAAGATAAATTAATTATTATTAACCTCAAGATAAAAGAACAAATTCTGACAGTGTTCATGAAATCGTTAAACGTTGAAGTTTGATATTGTAAAGAGGGAAATCAATGTTGATCTTTAGTAAGGTAAGGTTTGTGGTTGTAGGATCTAGGCCTAAGATTGAAAAGTGGGAATACAATTAGGAGAGACATTTTTAGTATACCCTTTTGGGTTTAGAGATCCACTACTTAAACTCTAAGACAGGTTTTCCAGAAAAGGACTGTTTTTTCATAAAGCGGGTATCTACAAAAAAATATACAATTCGTGTACTCTGTATACAATCATGAAAGATCTTTGGTATTATATACATACGAAATAAGAAAGTCACTTCTATATAAATTTATGTTTACTAAAATAGAACTTAAGGAACCTTGTTTCCAACCGAGCCACACAAAAAATATATTTGCATATACAAATCAGATAAAGCATGTGTTGATTAACGACTCATATAACGACTACTATATTCCTCGCCTACATTACGTAAATTTCATTACATCAAAAATGTTGATTATCTTATACCTTAAACATTTTCATGCGTGGGTATATAGAGGGCAGCACACGGACACCGCCATAATCTCCCAAAGGAAACTCAGTGTGTACATCAGAGCGGTTTCGGAGTCAGCGCGTAATACCATAAACATAGTACATAATACAGTCATAAGAAGTCTGCATGAATATTTGCAGTGTACGAATAGTGCATATGCATGCATGCGATATACGGTTAGCTAGCTCAAGATGAATAAATGTATTTTACAGAACTATAAAAATGTGCATTTTGAAATATATTTAATTAAAGACATATCAATCAATTTGATATTTCAAAACTTAATTACAAACAGCCAATCGAAACTCGAGATAAGTCGGGAGCGGCACGACTAATAGACTCGGTCGTTCGTGAAGTAGGCAAGTTTGCGGTCATTACGTTTCACTGAGCCAACGGGTATTACGCTATCGTGCGTAAAAAGTTCGCAAGATGGTATAGATATCGCACGTCCGTGTGCTGCCCTCTATATACCCACGCATCAAACATCTTTAAAGAGAAGGTTGAGTTCTGGGAAGAGGTGAAAAATAATTTGTGAGCATTACTCATTCTTATTATGCAAGTGTGGAAGAACATCAGTTAAGACATGTTCCCTGAAAAGCATGACTCTTCAAATGCCTTCATATTCTAAATATGCATGTAACATCGTAAAAATCGGGGCCGGCTTTTTACGCCACGTGTTCGTGTAGTCCCATATACATATTTCTGTGCAAGTGTTTGTAACTTTACCAAGACTTGGCCAAATTTCTTATCATTTTGATGATTCCAGAACCTTGCAATACACACAAATTCTTATATGCTAGATGATCAACCTTTTCTGGTCGGTTCCACACCGTTTCTTTCACAATGCAATCGCTTGACCAGAACTCAACTTCATCTTTAACACCTAAACATTGACCCAGACAACAAAACCCTGCACATAACATCATCTCAAAATAGCATTTACATGGTTGAATGGTAACACAAAAATGAAAAGAAAAACTAGCGACAAGATATACTTTATATTATTTTCTAGATCACGCTGCAAATTCACTTTAATTCCAGAAAGAAAGACAAAAAAAGCTCGTCTTGATTTTTTTATTTGCCTGAAAATGTAATTAAACCTGTAATCGAATAAGACAGTGTCAAATTGGCGAACTGTATAGTCCATATGGACCGAATTTGGAGGAACAAAAGGTCACTTTTAATGACGTATCATTTTTCATCACAGCGTCAAAAAACTAATAGAATATCTTATTGTATCAGTATTTCATAAGCTCTTTTCCTAGTATACTAGTATAGAACATATAATTGGATCATCAATTGAATTACATTATATATGATTGTATTGTATGCATAGAACATTTCTTGTGAGTGATTTAAATTGCTGCAAGAATAATGCATTTTCTCCCTTTTTTTAAGGTTAGAGTGAAACTTCACATGGTTATCACAAAATACAGGTTATACTTTTTCCAGACTTGTCAAACTTCAGAAGATGAATGTATCTCGGTAAACCGGGAGACTAGATAATTTAGTTCTAAATTGTCAGCCAACATATTTAAAATGCTATAAGTTGGTCTACCATAAAAATGCACCTGTAAATTTAACCATGGATACAGTACGTTTCATTAGAATAAACCTTTTTTTTTAATCATTAAAGGGATCGTGTAACAATGTTAAATCTGAGATACACAGCCCTACGTGTTATCAATGTATGTGATATGGTGTAATATTGAAGCCCTAAAAAAATTGCGCTTCGAGATGATCAAGAAGTGCCTCAAAAAAGTAAAAATCTTTGAGTGACCGGTTTTACCATACTCGTTTTCCCCAATAGACTGTAGTGTTATGAAAACCGTCAGGCGAACGGTTTTCAAAATTTGTAATTCCAATCATAAATATCTTGATAATCAGGCAGGCGATCGGCTTCTAAAAGTCACGGGGTTCCTGACTGACCTAAAGGTTTATAATTATCATTGTATCATGAGCTAAATCCAGAATTTTGTTTCAGAATCTAAGACAAAGTTACCGGATCCCTTTAAGTGAAAGTAATGGCACTTAAGCGATTTACAATAATTATTTGAAAGCCTCTAGCGAGTCACAAGTCTCCCCAAAATACGATGGGACGGACTATGGGGTGGCTGGATAAGGACTTATTCAACTCAAATCCATATCCTATAAACTGCAGTCATAACCCAATGTAATGTTTCTCAAATAAGAGACGGGACGGAGATTGAGTGGAGTTGGGATATGTAATTATTCGACGGGCGTCATGACTCTATCCACTGGAGTTTTGGCCCTACCCTCATTTTGAGCATCAGGAGGGGGTGTTGAGGATCCAGGAAGGTCTGGAGCGTCCATGATAGGCTCTTGAGTAGCAGGTGCCGGGGCGGGGGCATGGGCCACTTGAACAGTATTGGTTATGTTGGCCGGTGCTGTTGGTGGGGCATTGAATGCCTGGAAAGCAAGAATCGAGGTATCAGGAGGTAGTGGATAAAGAAAAAAAACTGACACTTTTAAAACACGAATGAATAAGAGAGCAGCCTACACAGTTAAACAAAATAGAATGATATAGTGAATGTATTGAACGAAATGAATTTATCAGTTTAGTTACATATCAAATATAGAATACTTTTGCTCTTTTACCTCCATTATATTATATATTTCAACCAGTCTCGGACACACTGAAGATTATGTCTTCTACCCATCATGCCTATCAGAGTATGCATGAAGTAACACAAAGATTCATCACACATTCTTGACACGAATATTTTCTCTCAAGCTTTAAAGACTGTAAGAATGAAAGGTAACAATGAAAATGTATTGATATATAAGGCGCCTTGCATATAACTAAGTTTTATTCAGTATAATATACAGCGACCATAGCATTACAATACGCATCATCCTATATTGCTTACCCCCCCCCCCTTTTTTTTGTTGTTGGTTGAAATATATAATTCAACAAATAAGTGAATAATGTCAGCTTACCTGGTTCGTAGATTCAACTGGAGCAAGTCCACCGGCGGTGCTGGTCCCGTTCCCGGCACCGGTCCCGTTCCCGGCTCCATTACCGTTCGTGTCCTCGATATCGGCATTAGCGATCTTGGAGGACTTCTTCGACATCACGACCACGATGGCGATGATAATAATTAGGATCAAAACGACAGGTATGATCACGGCAATGACGATGATGCCGGTAGTACTTAGGCCTCTCCTGCCGCTCTCACCTGTTTAGAATATAGAATTTATTGAAATTAGGCGCTATGGCTAAATTTTAGAGCAATGGTTTCGAAGCCGGGAGGTTTCGGGTCAGTACGGAATTATTCAAAATTCAAAAGTAATATTAGGATGAGAAAGCTTTTTTCTTTTTTAATCGAGCAAACTTGTAACTAAATCGCTTCTACTTATTATTTAATTCTTAATAAATATGAGATTGCACTTAAAATTGACATAACGTCATATAGATTCTACTTTGCGATTTTCTGAAACAATGTTGTGAATGATTATTAAAATGTTTCTAGTTTATTTTAACAGCTGCAGGCCCACATAATGCTAGGAACTAGTATGGATACATGTCATAATTTGTCTAATAATATTCTCACACAGCATACTCAACGAGGTTTTTAAGCACCCTACAAATGGATTATAACATTAAAGTTGCACTTACTGACTTCAGTTGTCGAGGCTACAGCATCAGAAGAGAAAAGAAAATGAGATATTATCAAGATTATGAATAATCACAATGATCTACAAGGCAATCTATAACGATTATAAAGCATGCATTGTCGTAACATGAATTGTTTATATTTTAAAGAACTTGACTATTATAAGATATCCAATATCTTGCTGTTGAACTAAAACAAATAATAATCTGATAATTGATAGTTCTACATAGCTCTATCCACAGCACAGAACCAGGATGAATTTCAAGTTGTAGCTATTTTACAAATATCGTTACGAAACAACAGAAAAAGAACAACGATGAAAACAGCATACCGGTAGTGGCGTCATCAACTATCGTGGTAGCCATCATAATCGTAGTAGGAGAATCAACAGCGATCAGGGTGAAGGCTGAAAGATGAGTAGTTTGGCACTCAGACAAGACCGATGAGTGGTAGACGGTCGTAAGTCCATCCTGGCTCCAGGAGCTGCTGCTAGTGTCCCACCAATAGCAGTCATAGACTTTGTCGGATTGGAGGCGTGAAGCGGTCATGTTGATTGATATGGGGCTGCTCAGTCCGGTAATACTCAGCTCAGAATCTACCAAAGTAAAGCAGGTCAATTTTATCAGATTATGATGAACATATACATATCATTTTCAATTTTATGTATATCACGTATTGCAAAAGAAACACTGTCCCTATTTGTTGCTAAAGAGTATTCGTGTTTTACTTCGTCAAAACTTTACTAGCGCACAGTGGATTTCAAGGGATAATCGAGCCAGGTGCATATTTTAAGAAGTGAGTCAGACATAATGCTTTGGATAAAATAACACACACACATCGCATCAAGCAAGGGTTCGATACTTCAACCTCTTAATTGAAAGTCAAGTTGATGAATTTATACATCATGATACTCCTCTGTCATAAATCTTTAATACTTTTGATAGATGGATACTAATCTATATCAATGTTGTATAAAACATTTTTTTAAATAGGTGTACAATTACATCACATGTTACCACTATTTTACTAATATCAGATTACATTATACAATATTTATATAATATTGGCTGGCTTTGTGATACAAGAATATATTGCTCGTGCTATGACAATATTGGACGAGTCGAAGACGATTCCAACGTTGTCACAGCAAGAGCAATATATTCTTTTATCACACGATGACAAGCCATACAATATTATTCTTGTTATCTATATCAGGCTGACTAGCGAATAACACAATTTGAGATGTAAATTTGATGTAAATTGTATCGACAGTTGAAGTTCCCGGATGACGGAGCAATACGAAAACAATATTGATCAGTCATCCGGGTATTGCACTAAAGATATTAAACACACTAATTTATTGTACCTCTTGGAAGCCTTATAAATGATAATAGGTGATAACGTTTCTGATCAGGATACATAAGAGTGCAATGATAATTATAATTACACATTCTTCATGTTCTCCAATATATTCAGATATCTCTTGTTGACGATTTCAAGAAAATCAAAGATTCATTTACGAAATTAGAGTCTGATGACTTACTATCACTCGGGTCAAGCAGATTGATTTGAAGGATAGAAGATGCTCTGTTCGCCTTATCCTCGTCCGTGGTCGAGTAGTAATCAACCTCATCGTCGTACTGAGTAAACCTGATCTGAACACCAGAGCAAGTGCTTCCAGAGGCACACGACCAACTTGCACCATATCTATAAATACATAGAAACATATACACGAAATACAAGAGGGTGATAATTGTATTTTCAAAGTTTCATAAAGCACGTCATTTCAATCGTTTGAAAACTATAAATATGTGCAAGAAACTTATGTTCTTGCTTATCATCCTAAATAAGATCTTTCCCCTTCATAGCGTCCTTTTACTCTATACTGTCATAAGCAATGTCTCTATTTCTTGGCAGTGATGCTGAAAGACAACCATGACAATAACACAAAAGAGAACCTTTATCATTAATAATGTATAGAAACAGATATCCTAAAGAGCGAGTAGAAAGAGAGAGAAAATAAAGTGGCGTTGGGGGGGGGGGTAGAGAGAGAGAGAGAGAGAGTTGAGAGAAAAAGGGGGATAGATAAAGGAATCGGGATCAATTTCTATCACTCACAAGCTTTCGATCTCGCTTCCGAACTTGACGTTGAAGGAGGTGCTGCTGGATGTAGTACTGAGGGTATCACTAGGGATAGCATAGAAGGCCCTGGTGGTTACGGAACCAGACCTGGTCTCCGTAGGGTCCCCTCCAAGTGGGATCTGACTCAGCTGGCCCTGGACTAATGTGTTCCTCAGGGTCCTGAAAATAGAAGGAAAATAATTTGAGTCTATTTTTATGCCTCCGTTACGAAGTAGCCGGAGGCATTATGTTTTCGGGTTGTCCGTCCGTCCGTCCGTCTGTACGTACGTACGTACGTCCCGTTCTCGTGATCGCGTTATCTGAAGAACCGATTGATGGATTCCTGCCAAACTTTGGTCATGTATGTATCTTGCAGAGTCAAAGAACTGATTAGATTTTGGGGTCATGAGGTTAAAGGTCAAAGGTCACAGGGCTCATTATGTATGCAAAAACAGCTCGTGATCGCGTTATCTCAAGAACCGAGTGATGGATTGCTGCCAAACTTAGGTCATGTATGTTACTTGCAGAGCAGATGAACTGATTAGATTTTGGGGTCACGAGGCCAAAGGTCAAAGGTCATGGGCTCATTATGTATGCAGAAATAGCTTGTGAACACATTCTCATTAGAACTGACAGATGGATTACTATTTAACTCAGGACATCTTGCAGAGCCAATGAACTGAGTAGATTTTAGGGTCATGAGGTCAAAGATCAAAGGGTCATATATGTATATGAGAAATTGCTTGTAATCACGTATTCTGAGAGCCTGTTAATGGATTACAATTGAACTTGAATTCGAAAAATGTGTTCTGTTTTGGTTTGTAAAATTGCTCTATGACGGAGGCATCATTTTCGACTGCGCGCAGTCGAATTCCATCTAGTTCTTAACGGATTACTGATTCTATCGCTACTTCATCTTCCCCTCTTCATAACAAGTTTTTAAAAATAAATTATATCACATTTTTATTAAATAATAATAAAAACGGGGCTTAAAAAGCATTTACCACCTAAGTCTCAGATTCTAAACAAAATCCTGGATTTACCTCATGCTGCAATTTAATTATAAAGTTTTCGGTCAGTCAGGAATCCCATGACGTTTACAAGCCGATTGCCCGTCTGATTATCTGATTTATGATTGGCATTAGAAATGTCAAAAACTCGTTTTCCCAACAGTTTTTATAACACTACAGTCTAGTGGGTAAAATGAGTATGGTAAAACCGGTCACTCAAAGATATTTATTTCTTTGAGTTTATGATCATTTTGAAGCGCATTTTTTCAGGGCTTTAATATTACAACACATCACAGACACTCATAACACGTAGAGCCATGCATCTCAGATTTTGCATTGTTAAACAATGCCTTTTAAAGACCATGATAATCGGTTTCAATAGCTTTAACTCATTGGATGAGAACTGTTGACTATTCGTTCATTACGGATTTTAATGATTTGATCATGCTAACAAATAAACGTATTCGGCTCCATGATGCCTACACACGGAATCCATGGAAAAACAGAGCCATTAGGTTAATGTTTCTGAAATGAACTATCCAACCGTTTTATCCTTCTATTATTGTTATATAAGTCAAACAAACACACTAAACATAACCTTCAATGATTTATGGAGCCCTTGTGATTTTTTGTTGTTCGAATGTAAAATCTACACGACTATTTACTGAACGATTGAACGACTTATCTAGGCCTATGAAGTTTAAGAAAATGCCTGATAAGTGTCACCTACAGATTAATTTACATGGTATACTCACGTAATTTTGGCAAACATGTCCGAGTTGTATTGAGGGTCGAGTTCAGCAGCGATCTCGCTTGTCTTTGTAAGAACGATCTCGGCGCTAGACTCGGGAAGCCCTTCATCACTGAAAACAGCGACGAGCTCGACTAGAATGTCCAGGTAGATGTCTGATAACAGATAGAAAGATGGAATGATTTTATTAGTAAAGGAATTGTCCTTTTTTAAATTTTAAATTACTGTTGAATTGAAATAGGATCTATTTCATTTTTATGTCTTCTACCATCTTGAAATGATTAATGCATTGTATCAGCCAACACCAGATATGACATAATTTCCATCACTACATTGAAAACATTTGGCATATGTACTCATTTGGTGAGAATTAATGATTAACTTTCAACATTCTAATTTTGCTATAAGTCTGATATAACGAAACAAATAGATAACTACATGTACTTTCAGGTTGTTAATGAAAAGAAAAACAATCGCTAATAATACGCCAAAAGGCTTTAAAATGATTACCACGACTTTATAGCTCCAGCAACTGTTAGCAGCGAATAGTCCGATCAACAAATACTTGGACATGGACCATGTACCCATTACTCTCGCGTTCGAGAGTGACATTTTTTGTTAATGTATTGCCATGTAACCACGTGACTACAACACCCCTACGTCACATCTCCCTGCGATTCGTTCGTACCCATATCAGACAGTGTGAGATCGGCAATGACCACGCCATCCGACTGATCAAGCAGAGTCTGGGCGGTGGCCGTGTCCAGGACCGTCGACGAGATGGCATTCTGAAGTAGATCCAGCTGCTCAGTAGCTGTGCTGGATGTCTCCGAGACTGCTCTCCGTTTCCTGCTCGTGCTGTCGACACCCACTTCCGTGATGGTGTTGAAGTTTACCAGCGCTTCCAGGAAATTCCCTGTTGAGACAAAAACGGAGTAGAATCGGTTGTTTGATAATTTCGGGAAACGACAATCCAATAAAGAAAAACGGACGTTTATTTTTAAATAATTCAAATCTACCAAGTGATGATTGTTATCATTTTTGTTGACGTCCACTGAGCTGGGAAGGGGACAAAAGAACAAAAATATATTACAGCTGATCGTGAGGTCTCTTCTCCAAGTATACTACACCGGAATTTGCCCCCCCCTACTCTTTTATGAAGATTGCAGTTGAGTTTGAACGTGTAAAGGTGGTGGGTCTCCTACAAAGGACATTCATTTAACGTTCTATCCAAAGAACGGGTAATTTTAAGATAAAATAAACGTTATGTGATTAGTCGAAATGCTTTAAAGTGAGAAAAAAATCCGTAACACCGGATTAAAAAACATATTAAATTTCAATACCTTTTCTTCATAATAATGTTTTACATTTATTTAATATCTTCTTAATGTTGAAAAAAGAATAGGCTGATGATATTTACGTACCTAAAAACTTTTGTGGTTCTACTAGATTGGTTATACTTTCAACAAATTGTTCTTGACTGAAAGATGCGATGGCAGTGACGTCCAATGTAATACTGTACGAAGAACAGCTTCCGAAATCATTGCATACCTATTATAAGAGGAGAAAAACCAAGGCAAATGAAGATTTAGGGATTTGTTAATCCGAATATGTAATACTAATTGTCTCCTTCTCCTATCTTGTGTGGTTCTTTGGTCTCACCTCTTAAAAACAAAATGAAACTGATGAGGGTAATGAAAACTTAAAGTAAGGTAATTGGCTTACCGGTTAAACAACTTGAAGAGATAGCTGAATCAGCTGTGATTGATAAGTGTAATCGTATCATTGAGGATGAAACTCATCTACATATGCATTATTGTTTTCAATAAATCAGGACGTGTCCGGCTACCGAAAGTCAGAACAAATAGATTTAGGGGGTCATTTCTTAAACGTGCCATGACATTTTACAATGACAGTTTCAGGAGGTAATTGTTAATTGTTAGTTGCGGAATCAGCAATTAAGAATATATGGATGTACTGCACATTTATTTATACTTAATCTACCACTGAACCGTTTAATGATAATACCAGTATTGATTTTTGGTATGTCTACGGTTATAAATTGTGTATTATGTTTCTATACCAAAGCCTATATCATTTTGTACTTATGTTAAATTGTGTGTTGTATTCATCCCTGATTTTGTTTAAATTGATAATCCATGTATGTTAATTGATGTTATATAAATTGAAGAAACAGTCAGGAAAAGATTTTTATGCCATACAATTGTGCATAATCAATAAATTTGAAATTAAGCTTGAACTTGAATTAGTAGCTTAAATCGGTTTCACACTTCAGATTTCTCTTGGTGGAACAGCTACAGGAGGTATCCCCATTAAATGAGGATTGATTCCATATCAAAGGGCACTCGCGTATCGAATCGGTTTCGAGCCGGGATCTTCGAGACCGGTAACGAGACCACTGTTCGACCATTAAACCATCGTTCCTCCGTAGTTTTTCTCATAACAGACTCGTGCCAATAAGTCTAACAAAATACGAATTAAGTATTCGTGTAGTACATTAAAAATAACAGACATCAAAATGAAAATATTGAGCTCGTAAACCTCCTCTCACCTTGACAACAAATGTGTTCTGGTTGTCGCTAAAGGACGGCAGACCCAATATAGTGCTGCTCGCCTCTGCCAAGGCTCCCGTCATTGCGTTGTAACGGGTGACAGATGATTCGACCTTCTCACGGAATACTTGGTAAGACAGAGGGTAAGCTTCTTCATCAGTCACGCAGTTCTGAGTTAGGAGAGTTATCTGGGGGAAACATAGGAAGGAGATGAAATGGTAATATAGTACATGCCATAGTTCTGAAACCAGAGCATAAGTGAAATTTATTTTCTGACTTGCAGAGAACGTTTTCTGAACTCTACCAGCAGCTTTATAACAATTATGATGATGATGATAATAATAACAATAATAATGATTATTATAATCATGATGACAATAATGAAAATAATACGATAATATTCACAGTGAAATCCACTGTAAATTCTTAGTCTAAATACAGTTCTGGGAGCGGATTCCACCCTATTTTTTTTTTGCATGAATTCCATTCCAAACGACGTAATTCCCAATTTATGACTCCCACGAGAAGTGGATTACCACTTCTGTACATTTAATTAGGAAACTGATATCCTAAAATGCTTTGTCATGGTAAATCAATTCTGGGCCCCGTCTTATAAACAGTTGCGATTAATCACAACTTATTCACGATCGACATAAATCGCAACTAAGTACATAAGAGATAGGAGACTGCAAACTTTTGATTGGCTAGAGGATTTGCGAGCGATTCGGATCAATCGCGACTCTTTGTAAGACGAGGCTCGGATGAGGGTCCTTAAAACAACTAGGCGTTGTGGCGTGCGCCTGTAATCCAGCTAACAGTGGAAGTTACAAACTGATTCAGCCGAGGACGCAGGTTCGAAACTTGAGTCACGTCTTTCGAATGGTGACGTTAAAAGTCGGTCCCCAGACGTAAATAATCACATCTGATTGATACACGTCTGTAAAAACCCAAATACACACACACAGGGTCCTTAAAAATAACGTACCTCGTCCAGTTCTTGATAGCTGGTAGAACCATCACCCAAACTGAATGTACAGGAAGATACTCCTCCATACGTGCTGGTTGTCAACTTACTAGCTGACACCTGTCCTTCAGTATCCGTTACCGTCACTGAGAAAGAGTAGGCAACACCCTCTTCCAAAGTTCCTATGATGCCATTAGAAGATTGATGAACGGGTTAATGATTACGCTAGAGATGTTAAAATTTTTCATTACTCTTTTGCCTGTTTGAAAATAAATATTTCATTAGCATGTGTTCTTCAGCAAATCCGACTCTGGCCCACCTTACGTGAAGAAAGGAAAAATATTTACAACTTTTTAAAAGATCTTTTTTCCTTAGATTTGTGCTTCTTCGCCGGAGAATTATGAACAAAATTAAAGAGTGCTAATTCAATATATCACACACTCTTTGACTATGACAAATTGCCAATTCATGCCTTTTCATTCAAATTTTATGTCAGCATCAGTCGCAACGAATGCTTTTAAATGTTTGTCGTTTTTGAAAAAAAAAACATTATGGCACATAGTTAAAGCTAATTGCACCAAACACGTGATTTTCTTTTTCTTATAATGATACCTCAATGGATATAATGTTATCTAATGGTCATTCCTTATAGATATAGAATGTTTATATCAATTGATCTTTATGATTTTGAACCAGACTCTAAAGTATATATGTTGGGTTAATGATTCACAGAATTATACTGCATTAATATCATTAAATGCTTTAGATTACGTTAAACCATAATCTACATTTGTCTAAATCCCATCTTTGTTTCTCAAAGCTTTCTTGTAGACCCTCTTACCTGTGGGGATAGTTACAAAAGCGTATGTGCTGAAGGGTGATGTATCTCCTTGTATAAGGAAGGACTGACTATTCAGCAGTGAGAAGTCAACGTATCCATATCCTGTATTCAATTAAAAAGTTGAAGGGGTTCAAATTAGCATTATTTAAATTCCATTATTTATTAAAACCAAACTACATCAGTTTGAAGCCAAAAGGGTGTTACATCTGTGTAAAATGATGCGAGTTAATGCGTTTCTGGCTCCAACTAGTATTCAATCACACAAAGATTGGGGTAAAATTGTACAGGCGTATGTTGGAGGAACAGTAGGAGGGACGGTGTACAAAGAGCATAATTTCGTCGAAATAAGGCTAACTCGTCTTAAAAGAACATGGCTCCAAAATGGTCAGTTGAAAACAGATAATACTCCATCCATCTTGTATGAAAGCAATTTTAGTGAAACATTTGTTTCAAGGATTCTTTGTAAATGTACGTACTAAGAATTTGTTATCTTCGGAAATTTTCCTAATACTATACTTTCAATACCGTAGGTTCGTCACATGCCTAATTTTAATACACTTAGTTTGAGAAACAATCATAGTTTTGTAAAATCGCATGTGACTTTTCAAAAACTTGACCAAACAGATTGTTTTTATATTTAATTACAATTTCTTAAAACTCGCTTTATACCCATAACTCTTACCGAGATCTGTAGCCCATTCAATGGTAATATCTGATGTATGGCTGATCAATACTCGTAGCGTATGAGAACTACTGCTCTTTATCTTCTCAGGGAGGGATTCATCGAGACTGATCTACAAGGGGACAGGATGAGGAGTGAAACGGTTCATGTTAGAGGTTTGTCGTAATTGTATGATACACAAGCAGGCATGATATGCTTTAAACCGAATAACCTATTAAATTATCAGGTACATAACTTCTCCTCATACTCACTTGGAATGTAAAATACTACGTCACTATGCCATTGGGTAAATTTTTAGCCTTGAGGTTATGTTTGTATTGACAGAACATAATTAAAAACCCAACTACCAACATCAGTTGTTTTTCTTAACACCAATCTCGCATGATGGTACGCCATCCATGTTGATTGATTTTCATCGTTGAGGTTGTCTTGACGGTACCCAAACACAGCATACAATCACAAACACCCAACACCGAGAGTCTTGATACCTTTCCCAAACATTGATTACCTTTAGTGATTTACCAGCCTTGGTGTTGTCTTGACGCTCCCTATAAAACAAAATATGAAATCACTAACACCCAACACCAATTATCTTAGGACCCGTCCCAAACAATAATTACCGTTGGAGGATTGCCAGACTTGGAAAGGATGGTGACACTGGTCGATGCTGTCCTTGACAGTTTGTTGATCTCCAGAGTGAACAGATAGGTGGAGTCCGAGTACAGATTGTTGGAAGCTAACGTGAGAGTACTTGTTTTGGAGTCAGCTTCCGCCGGGAACACCTCACGTGTCTCGCTTGATACACAAGGCTCATAGCTGCCTGTCTCAGTGTTCGACTGAAAAGGGTGCAGCCAAAGGCAATCCATGTGTTAGTCAATGATGTGAGGGTAAAATAGCTCGGGGTCGACTATTTGTTTCAATTTTGCATATGAATGCAGCAGATCGTTAGTCAGATTTTGGCTGCAATTTACTCCACTCATTCAGTCAGAGGAACCAGTAAATCCATGTTTACATGTAATGTTACCAAATAACTGATATGTTACTGATGTATGCTGTTGAACAAATTTATCGCAACTTAGTGCCTCAATCGTAAATATCTTTTAGGGCCTACATGTACATGTATTTGTATTATGAAATCTTTGAGTTGCAACATCAAAAAATTCATACGCGTTACCAAATCAACTTTACTTAACTATTACATCCTGTTTTACAGTCGGATCGCAACGGAGTACATTCAGTCGTAAATCACTTACAGGCAAACTCGTCTATTGAACCGGCGTTTACACTAACGCTGTACACCATTAATCAACTGAGTTTCAAAAAGGTTAATCAGATCAAAACTTTACGCCTTCAATCTCAAAATGTTCATACATGTTTATCAAATCAGGGTTTAGGTTATTAGGTCTATACTGTATGTTAAAAAACAAAGGATGCATCCAGTCGTTAATTTCGTTTACTGTTTAAATGGAATCTGGAATTTAACATCAACAATACAACGTCAAAAGTATTTGTTAACGAAGTCATTTAAAGCGTTGTATTGCAAATTATTCTGCATTGACAATACACAAGGCCATCTCTTAAGCTAAACCTTATATGTGAACATTATCGCAAGAGAACTTTTGAAATGTTATCGAATATTTTGTACCTTCTGACATGTCCAAAGGTAGGTCAGCTCTTCATTTTCACTGTCGGGATCAAATGACGATGATCCATCCAGTGTGAACGACTCACTGTCGACGCCGATGGTCCTCTCACTCCCGCCATCGATTAGGGCGACGAGGTCGGTGTAGACCGTGGTGATTGTCACGGTCTGCGTGGTCACCGTGCTAGGGTCACTTTCCCGGTTGACCTCCAGTGTGAAGGTCACTTGGGAGTCGCCTAAATAGATTGTGACGTTGAAATTTTAGAACTTAACTTAAAAAAGAGTTCGAATTTGAGTCTCGGTACATATTTAGAATATAAGGGCTTACTTATTAAGTGAATAACATTATAGGCCAATGTTGATAGGCTAGTCTACTCAGATCTTTTCGTTTTCTTTTCTTCTTTTCTTTTTTCTCGCTCTTTCTTTTGATCGTAAAAAGGTGACTAGCTAGATTTTTCCTAAGGGAATGAAGAATGTGCACTATAATTTAGAGAATAGTAATTTTCTTCAGTGACCAGGGTAATGATGAAAGTGTTAGTTAATTTGTCACTTTGTGGTGAAGTGCTTCATAAGAAACCTGTACTATTAATATTATTATTATCGTTATTATTATTTTTAAATTTGTCTTTGATATAATTATCAGCATTTTATCAATATCTCAGCTCGATCTTTGCTGGTTTTTATCTCATTGGCATATTTATGGCAAGCTACAACTCGTAGCCTTAGGCCTCAAGTACTTTTCGTAAGAGCCTTGCGGTACATTAATATTATTATTATTTTTGTATCATTATTATTATTATCATTAATCACTATCAAATTGATGAATAAAACGCTATACATCTATGAAGAACCATCTAATATTAAAATCCATACCTGGTAAAGAACCAGCTGCCACATACAGGAGTGGTTTGTTTATGGTTTGTAGGTTAAGAGCAATACTATCATCATCTACAGACCAAGCATACTCCATCTGCTCAGCTCCACCACAATCCTCGTAGAATTTCACAGCAGCGCGGAGGTAGAACCTGAAAGGACACAGACAAAGATTTTTTATTTATTTTGAATTGCCGCGGCGGTTTGTTCGTTTATTTGTTAGTTTTTGAGGTAGTGTATCGAATCACATGGGAACGAAGATTAATTGTAAGAAAATTTTATCACAAAGGAAGATCAACTCACGCTTGCGAGATAAGGGCACTATTAGGATCAACTCTTTCCGGGTAGATCACGACGTCTGGTTTGTTGAGAGCAGACCGAGTCACCTCCAAGGTCTTTGTGTCACTGCCTCCAAGGAAGTTCTCGGCTGTCATGCTGAAGGTATACGGCACGTCCGTGTCGAGGTAGGCTCCATCAAGAGTAACATAGGCGAACCCCGCAGCGGCTACAAGATTAAGAGCAAAATTTAAGAAGGGATTAAAGAATAAGACTACAAGGCAAATATATCGACGCTTATAATTACAATGGTAGTAAAGTGTCTCATCATAGTCAACCCAAACGCTCAAAATTCTTACTATATATGTATAATACATAGTCAACTTTTAATAGTTCTAAATCCTTGACTATGTCTATTTCAATGCACTTAGGAATAGAGAAAGAAAAAAACAGCATTGGGAAAGGATGACAGGAAGTATCACATAATCTATTGACTGAAAGTTCTGTAAATGGGTATGGATTATCATGGATCATGTTTATGCCATAGTCAGATTATTGCTTAAATTGTTGTACATGAAAATGGTGCATTAAACTATCATCCAATCAGATAATACAGAGGATAAGATTTAATCTACTCACAATATAAACATAAAGTTGTTGCAGAACATAATATGAACTTTATGAAGAAAAAGATAACAGTCTATGTAATTTACGAACTAACTATCTACCTCTTAACCAACCTTGATCTTTTTTGGTTGCCCCTAACGATATGTAAACTTTATATATGATTATGTCAACATGTTCTATTGTATTGTGCTATTTTATTGTATTGTGCTATTTTTTATATCGTTGAATAAATGATTGAATTGAACTAACTAACTAACCAATTACCTTACTAACTGACTAACCATAACCAACTGTCTAACCTGTTAGGTCATCCGTCAAACCAGATGGGATCGAACCGCCACTGGTCACAGACCACTGATAGGTGAAAAAACGTCCTGCGTTTCCAAAGGATTGCAGAGCACTAAGTCGTACATTACCGCAGCTGCTAATTGCTTCTGTACCGGTCAGAGCCGCGTAGACGGTAACCGCTTCGTCGGGGGAGGATGCGGTTAGAGTACCGCTGGCGTACCGAGCGTATTCCTCATCACGTTTTTTCAGAACGTTATCGCGCAGCACTAGTTCATCATCTGGGGAATATAATTAGTTAGAGAATTAATAATTGATTTTAATTTTAATTCTGTTTATCTCTCATCGTTAAAATCTAAATATAATTCTTCTTTTACTTTTATTTTTTGAAAACTTATCCTTCGTTGTAAGGATAAGTAATATGGTATCAAAGGGGGCTTTGTTAAAAGGAGATAGAGTGTGTCCAACTTAAATCGAGTTTGTCGACAAATTTGTAAATCATTTCGGTATATATCGGCAAATCATATGTTATTTTGATGTTTTATTTTGGAAAATGTCAGTGAACCTATCCATAAAGTTGGTGCGATATTACATTTAAAATTGGTAACGCGACGCCCGTGTATGACGAACAAGAATATAAGTGGAATTGATAATGGAGAACTCTTCTTCAACTGCTTGGAGACTGAAGTATAAATGTCTAAATTAGCTATTTTTGTCGAAACGTAATTCATTCAATCATTTATACTCGTTATCTTACTGTGCAAGGGACCTTTGTATGAATACTTTGTCATAAACTTCAAATGTAATTATATTTTTTACCTGGTTCAATAAGATTTCCACTTTCCGAACTGGAGGGTTGTATATAGATAGTTTTAAGGTAAGGGAATGCATAGCACTGGGCAGCGACACCACCCAGGCTTGTCGTATTCATGAATACTGCATCACATGATGTCACCGAGTCTTCGTTGATTGCGACGTCGAACCCGAGTTCCAGAAGATGCCCTGGGGGAAAGTAGATTGAAAGTAAACATTAATTTCTGTCTCAGAGTGAAAATGCTATAGATAACTCCCTTTTGATACCAATGAGGTCGCAAACTTAAAACACAATTACACACTGCAATCATTACAAAGAGCATCCTTATTCATTTTGAATATTAGATATTATTTGATAGATTTGTAACAATGCAACGAACATGGGTGTCGATCCGTAACTGATACCTATTCATCAGGGGGGGATGATCTATTCATTCATCCCCCCTGATGAATAGGTATTACGTAAGGATCGACACCCATGGCAACGAATATTATACTGCATATCAGTTTGTCTCAAACCATCGTTTAAATTGATAGATGGTGGTTTCACCGTTTTTACAGTTGTAAAACAAGAGGTACAGTGTATGTGAGAAGCACTGTTGGGACACGAAACATTATATTGCCTTTTCCAAAAAATCCCACCGTGCCTATGCTTCTATTTCAATGAATGACAAGAGGCATTTGGGAGTAAAAACATTGTAAACCGACATTTGCTCCGACGACAATTGCTATGTGCTTTATTCTGTCAAAAGTATTTAGCGTCGTGCTTAGGTTTGCAATCGACGTTTAGTTTAGGTCTAGAGAAAGGGTTTTGATAAGATGGGTCCTGTGGTGTTGAGCCTAAGGTTGAAGTTAGGAATTTGCTTAGTAAATTTTTTTGCAGGAGCATGTGTTCTACACCAACAAATTAGCCGACCTCGTCGATTTTCCCTGGTCCTCGGTTAAACAGAAATATACTACAAAATCAACGAATAGCACCGAATACAGACGTAGTAAAGGTGTTCGTCTGCGCTCATCAGTGTGGCAATGGTGAACAGAAAACCAAAATCGGACAATAAAAGCGGAAGCTATTGAGTGCAAGACGAAAAGCTTTAGAATGTCTTTCTATATTCGTTGCTATTCTTTAATAGATACAGAAAAGTCCAATGATCTCATTTTCCGCCGCGGTTTTTGTGTGTGCTAAAGCGGTTAACCGCCGTTCGCCTGAATAAATCTTAGAAAATGATTACCAGTCGGGGAGAATTTAAGACTCTGAGCGACCGGTGCAGGGGCATAGTAGGTGATCGTGAAACCGGCATCATCGGGGGTGACCAGGTAGTCGATTCCGTTAAAGGACGGGTAGACGACAACTTGAGCCGAGGTAGTCAGCATCGGACCCGTAAACTCGAGAAGCTCGTCGTTGTCTCCTCCAAAAGTTCCTTCGTAGACCAGTCTCTCGGTCTCTGTTGGTAAAGAGAGAATGGGCAAACGAATTTGGAGTGATAGGAAAGAGGGTCAGAGAGTAAAAAATAAATAGGCGCATTTCTTTGAGCAAGTCTCAGTGTTTTAAAAAGAAAGAAATGCCTTAAAAGCTATTGATAAATTCTCAAGCTTATCAAGCTACTAATATGTGATCATTTACATGCATGAAATGAACTCGTTTATAGATTAAAAAAATCATGCCATTTCTAATCATACTAATAAGGCTGCTTTCCAAGTCTCGTATCAGTAAACTGCAGTGGCATATCTATCGTGTTAAGGGGGTGACATTGTCAAGTAATGTATCTCGGTAGACACGCGTGTTGTAGATCCACTACAAGTTCTAATTGTGTTCTCGGCCTTCAAACGGAGGAGAGAGAAAGGGCAGTACCATTCTATTTGATGTCGGTAGAAAATGTTCCATGGCATATTTCCAATCCTTTGCAAAATTCACCAGATGTACAAGAGTGTATGATATTTGTGTTAAACCTAATATATTAATCCTCCATTCTGCAGTCGTGAAAAGAATCACGATATCTATGAACTCACCTGTGAATACGATAGCTTTTGGAGTGGTCAAGTCCTTGTATGCCGTAAAGGCTCCGCTTGTTGATACCATGTTGACAGAGATGGAAATCTCACTATCATCTATATCAAACTCGCTCTGGGATAAACTGTTTATTGTTACTTCTGCAGAATTAAAAAAATACATAAATATAATATATATTATCGTCAATGGGAGTAATTAAAATATTAATTCATAGCTGATACATAAAATGAACTTTACTGATTTATCGTCTTGATCATTTTCATTATTTTGTATTTGTTTCCTAATTTCTAGACTATGAAATGGCATTAATTTTCTTTACACTATCTGAATTCCTTATAAAATATACCTACCACAATCATAGTTTGCAAATACTAATATTATTTGTCATAGTTCATTATAATATTTTAATTTATCTTCTTGGTATTAAATTAACAAAGCATTAAATGTATTGCTAAAATAAAATGGGTTATAAACTTAATGATATATCTGGGCATGAATAAGCAAGCTTATTAATGTTTATTTCAAGACCTTTCTACACAATGAAACATTGATTATGTCCAACAGGGTTGATGGAGAAGTGTCGTATTAAGCGATGATACTTTTTTTGATTTAGTTATTACTTCTCTTCTGATTTTTATTATTATTACTATAATTAATAATAATACAATAATTTATAATAATACAATATTTATAAAGCGCATAATAAACAACAGTTTCTCTATGCGCTATTTTTATCATCATTATCATTATTATCTTTCTTATTATTATTATTATCATTGTTATTGTTATTATTATTGTTATTGTCATTCCATTTATTTTTGATCGGTCCCTTTATAATGCAACCAATCATGGCCGTCTCCAAAATACAGTTTTAGGTATATATTATACATGTAGAATGTAGACATACATGTAGAATGTTGTATGACATCGATTTTTGTACCTGAATAGACGTTGAGGGTGACGAATGCTTCTGATAGTTCCGTTGACTCCGTCGAAAGGTAAACAGAATACGTTCCTGAAAAATATATAATTATGAAATGACGATATGGAAATTGTATGACCCATTAAAAATAACACCACAGTAGTGCCTTATACAGGAAAAGGAGATAAAACAAAATTCACACCAATGCAGTTATTTCAATATCAATGAATCCATGTTTTACCTAATAAATCAGAAGCGCTATATCCACATGAAAAAAGATCGTTCGTGCCGTCAGCAAATATATTGGCAAGGAAGACGTATTGGATGGGTTAGAAATGCAAGGCATGAGACTAAGTATGTTCTGGATTTCTTTTTCTAAATCAGACCTGCAAAGTGAACATCAAATGAGATCAATGTTAGCCACAAACCTTCAGGAAGATTAGCGTTGCAGGTGAATTCGTCCTCCACTTCATCGCTGATATTGACCACGCTGACCTGCTCATCACTGCTGCTATCCCGGAACTTACACTGTTTGGTAGTCGCATCTTGGAATCCGGCGCCACGAAGTTTAACCTGCCACGAAGTTTAACAGATAAAAAACATTTTTATGTATAAAAAAACATTTTATACAGACCGCCAATTTTATTGCCGTTTTCCTTTTCATATAATTTCTGACCAATCATTATAATGTAAATCAGTCAATGTCAGTTAATGCTCATAAGAGCATTTTTTCTTCATATCAAATATAAAAGTGGTAAGTGATAAATATTATGGTGAATATTGCTTTTAAAAAGTGGTGTATGGTGGGTCTAATCACGATACAAAAATAGGGAATGTGTGATAACTGGTTCACGTCATCTTCTTGCATTCTTTATTTTCCTCTTTGCCTCCACCCTTCCTTCTCTCTCTCTCTCACTCGTTCGTGCTCTCTTTCTGTCTTCCTGCTCTATCTCTCATCATTCTCTCTCTTTATCACTCTTCATTTTTTTATTTTACAATGTGATTGGCCTCTGAGCTACACATCCCCTCCCCCCTGTACTTCTAATCAGAACTCCTACCTGATAGTCGGTGTTAGCTGGGATGATAGAGGGAGCTATATTGTCCACAGTGAAACAAGTACTACCATCCCCATCGCATACATCACACGCATCGGTCACTAGGCCACTGCATAAAATGATAAAAGGTGAAGGAAGAGTTCAACCTCAACTTGTATTAATAGAGCACAAATCAGCGACATAATATGAAAAGCTTAATTCCAAAAAAGGGCTCTTGAACCAAACTGACTTTCAGATAAATATGTGTACCTGACAGATGAGAATCAAATGCAATATATTTCATTTGAAAATATTTTTCGAAAGGGAGACAATTTCAATTACAAATTCCGTTTCATTCTAAAAAGAATTCAAGATCTAAACTGGTTTCGTTCCAAAAGGAGTTAAATTAACCGTAGCGATTAATAATTAATTTGTTTTGTTTATTTGACCAAGGTTTCCTGAAGCGATAAGATTTACAATTTTTGTTGTATTAAGTGCACTTGCCAGTCGAGACGATCAGTGCACAATTTCGATAAGGTAATAAGGAGAGTAAAAGAACAAGGAGGGCAGAGAGAAAACTGTTAGAAGGTCAAAGAGAAATAGATACACAGATAGAGAGAGATTCTATATATATATATGGATAAATAGATAAGAGAAATAATATACACAAATATATATATAGCCTAATGGATATATATATATATATATATAGAGAGAGAGAGAGAGAGAGAGGGGGGGGATGCAACGTTTACATGGTGTATGAAGAGTTTACTCGTCTTCAGCTATAAGGAGTGAACATATAAAATGCGTACCTATTAGCGACGCCATCACAGCCGAGGCAGAAGTCTGGTTCGATCGTAGTATTGCAGACTCCACATGCAGACAGTCCAGCATCCGCAGAGTTTCCGGTGTTATTTCCAACACAGTAACCACACTCATTTATGTCGGCAACTGGGAAGAAAAGTGGTCGAATAAGGAGATGAGATGGGGATTATTTAAAAGAAATAGAGGGTAATACAGTATTTAATTCTCTAAAATTCAGCACATTTAATTTTTTCTACCTCGTGTTCCCCTTTGGGTAAGACCGACACCGAGACACACTCTCTCTCCCTCTCTCCCACGCACATACCCACACAAAAATAGGCACACATAACATACACACATACATCTCATACATCCCATTTTGCTCTATAGTCCATATTAAAAACAAACAACTGCTCTGTTATTTCGAGCTATTATTTATCTAACTACTAAATCTAAAGGATAGAATCATTATCAAGATCCTTTTGCAACCTTTAATACACACTAAGAAATAAAGGTGCAATTATGCTACAATAACAGCATCCTCTGCCAAATACGCGTAGGTGGATGGAAGTCTACGCCCTAATTGCACCCTTGTGTCTTATTGTGTATGATGTGATCACGTGATGTATAGGGAATTAGCCTAATGATCAACAACTTTTGCAACAATTTACTTTTTATTAAAAACGGGTAGCAATAAACTTTATTAAACAATGTTTTTAAAATTGCGCTCAAGTTTTGTTCAACTTACATCCATTGCAGTCACCGTTACAATCCGCCGTGGAGAAAATAGTCCCATCGCTGAATGGCATCACGCATTCATCACAATCATTGGTCACAAAACTACCATTACAGATACCTAGGCAGTCCAACAAACGATCGCTTACATCCTCAGCCACACTCGTATTGCCACCTGTTTGGTAAAAACATGAGGAAAGAGTAAGTATTTTGGATGAACAGAGGATGATGGTGACAAGAATGATGAATAATGCACATAATCCTCTCAATAAACATGTATAGTCAACTCTATACGCATTCAAATGAAATAGCTTCTTCCATGTACCGGCAGGGAAGTAGACAGATCGAATTAGCTAAGTGGACAGAGGACTCTGACAAGCCAACAAAATATGTCGAGGCGATCTCAACGTTTAGCATGCGACCCCACGTAACACCTCACCTGGTTACGATTTGAGAGAGATGAAAAAAAAAATCATAGAATTAAATCGTTATCGATTTTTTGTATATAGTGTTATTATGCATTTGATATAAGTAATTCGACATTATTATCTATGTATATGAACGCTACCCGTAGAAGAAGAAAAAACAATAACTAATCTGTCCGAGTCTACTGCAATATATTTCGTTACTTTCGTTGTGTACAGCACCCGAAAACAAATAGCCTATACATCTACAAAACATCTCTATTTGAAGCGTATACATTAGTGCATTAGTGCAACGATTTCTCCGAAGGTGTGAAATATGAGATGATTTCCACTGGTAGGCATATATGCCTATTCACAAAACCAAATTTAAAAATGATGAAAGTTCCTAGAACAAAAAAGAACGATCACATAAACAAGTCCGGTAGTTTTAATTCGTTACGTTTAATATATGAACCTTTTTCAAAGGAAAAGTTCATTGGAGACTCTGGAGCTAATGTAGACAGAAAGGGCATTTTTATTTCGTTCTTGGATATGTTCCTCCGAGACTTCATCTGGCTTCATTGGAGACGTTAAAGCTTAAATGTTAAAAACTCGTCCATGCAAACAGATGATGCACAGTCTGCTCTCAGAATCCATATCGGAATCTATCAAAAATCTACTCACCTACGCAGACTTGACAGGCATCGCGGTAAGCAGTACCGCCACAGTCACCATTGCAGTCGATGACCGCAGTGCCTTCCCCAATGCAGGAACCACATTGGTCGAAACCGAAGTTGTTTGGTCTTCCCGTGGCTCCACCGACACACCATCCACATCCGTTCGTGGTCGCGGAACCACCACACTTGAAGGCGCAGTCGAGTGCGGCGCTGCCGCCGCATTCTCGGGCGCAATCCAAACTGGCGTTACCGTTGCATACACCGGCGCAGTCAGTGATGAAGAGACAGACTGATTGAACAAACGAAATAAATAATTGAGAAAAATGCGTGGCAATCTTGATCAGCACATGCAGAATGGTGAAAAGCGGTACAGATCAATCCCTTTGTATTGGGAGAATGGACGCCTATACATGTACGTTCTCAAATTGTCCTAATCGGGTATAAAAACTTATGATTAAAGTGAAACACATGAAAATCATTAAACAAATTAAATTATCTGTATAATAAGAACATACATAGTTCCCTCTTTCACTCACCCCTCCCTTCCCCTCTCTCTCTCTCTGTCCCTAACACACACCTCGTTCCCCCCCCTCTCTCTCTATCTTCCCTTCCCTCACTCCTATTTCTCTTCCTCTTTCTTTCTCTTACTCTACCTCGTTCCTGCGCCATGTCCATGTTTTATGGCTGTTTGGCAGTAACAACATAGGAGTAAAGAAGATAATGAAGAAGAAGAAGAAAAAGAAGAGGAGGAGGAAGAAACTATCCAAACGATAACATTGATCTACATCTTGTATTCCTGTCTCCGAGCATCATCTATACATTTTGATTAACACGTATCTTACTTTCGTTGTCAGTAGTGCCTATTGAAGATTGAGTTGAGTTTCCGGTAGTGCCTATTGATGATTGAGTTGGGTTTCCAGTAGTGTCTATTGATGATTGAGTTGAGTTTCCAGTAGTGCCTATTGAAGATTGAGTTGAGTTTCCGGTAGTGCCTATTGAAGATTGAGTTGAGTTTCCAGTAGTGCCTATTGATGATTGAGTTGAGTTTCCAGTAGTGTCTATTGATGATTGAGTTGAGTTTCCAGTAGTGCCTATTGATGATTGAGTTGGGTTTCCAGTAGTGCCTATTGAAGATTGAGTTGAGTTTCCGGTAGTGCCTATTGATGATTGAGTTGGGTTTCCAGTAGTGCCTATTGATGATTGAGTTGGGTTTCCAGTAGTGTCTATTGATGATTGAGTTGTGGTCGTAGCTTCGGTCGTTGGTTCTGTGGGTAACAAGATGAAGAGAATGATAATTTGTATAAAATCCTAGAACCGGTTTTAATCACAGATCATTTTGACAACCATACATTTTTTATTCACCAATCTGCTAAAAGGCTTCGAGGTTTGAATCTCGTTTGGTTTAGTAATACATAAATTACGTCGACGAGTTTGCCTCGAATAAAGTTACAGTAAAAATGTTTCCATTTTGAATGTTTAGTGACATAAATTAAAGGCATCGTTTAACAATTTTAAATCTGAGATACACGGCCCTACATGTTATCAGTGTCTGTGATATAGTGTAATATTGAAGCCCTAAAGAAAATTGCGCTTAAAAAAAATAAAATCGAGAAGTGCCTTCTAAATGTGTTTTTTGAGTGACCGGTTTTACCATACTCGTTTTACCCAGTAGACTGTAGTGTTATGAAAACCGTTAGGAAAATGCAAAATTTGATTTCGATTTCCAATCATAAATATCTTGATAATCACACGGGCGATCGACTTAAAAAAAGTCATTGGGTTCCTGACTTACCTATAGGTTTATAATTATCATTGCAGCATGAGCTAAATCCAGGATATCATTTCAGAATCTGAGACAAAATTACTCAGATGTAAGTGGAATCTAATGTCAATGAGTACCCAAATTAAAAGTTATAATTACCTTGTTGGCTGTTACAGTTTATGCTTGAAGGATCGACTGCAAGGAAATGTAAACAGTAACAGAGAAACATACAAACGATTAGTAATCTCGTGAAAGTTACAGGGGGTATACTACATGGTAACTAGTGGCTCATAACCGTACAACAAGCAGGGCAAAATCCAAGTCATTCGAATACAAGTTAATATACAAAAGGTCTCTAACATTTTCAGGATATTTCTAAAGCTTTTAATTTGAATGCTTGGGTGCAACAATTCCCCTCATTTTTGTCATAAAAGATCGTGTGGAACCAAATGCTTTTGACAAAGCAATGTATTTTATTTCATGATATTAATGAAGAACAGTAGAAAAAATGCTGCTAAACTGAGGACCATTATTCACCGCTCTCATAAAAACATACAAAGTCATTAAAGAATATAATAAAATATTTCTTGCAAACATAGATAAGCCAATAAATGGACAATACACTAAAGGAAATTACGAAGTGGTTTGATCATCAAAAAAAGTAACAGAAACCTATAAGTAGATGATCCTTAAAAAAAGGGACAAAGAAATAATACAAGAAAACAATGGTAATTACACACATAAAAAAGTACGGTTGTCAAATTCAAAGTTTCTGCATCAGGTGAAGTTTTAGATTATGCTTAAAATTGTATAAAGATGCACACTGTTTAAGTTTTGGGGGTAGTTTGTTCCAAATTGTGGGTCCTTGGCATTAATGACGTGGTAAAAGATAAAATTTGTTTTCTGATGTGACATACCTATTATTCCCGAGAATGATTGGGCCATGAAACTGCACACGTTATCCACAGAATGAAATCCCAGGTACCAGTAAAGGTAGTTATTGAATTCCTCCATTGAAACATTAACCATCGGAAGGATGAAATCGATGACACGATGAGCGGTACAGGCACACTTCTCAGGATCAGCCGTAAAACCAAGGATTTCCTCAATCACCGCTTGTGCATAATCAGACATGTTGTCCGGCTTTAGATGAATGAGATGGTCACAGAGTTCATGATGACTGTCTAATCCAATACTGTTCACAGCAATCCGGACTATCTCATTGAATTGGTTTACGCCAAATCCCGAGTCGTCGGAGTCCGAGAAGAGATCATTAAAAACTTGATCCCAACAAGAGCATATTTCTGCACCAAGCGGCATGAAGAGGGACATCATTTCCACAGCAAATTCAGATATCAGTGTTGGAATGTCCTTCCTAGATTCTACTACGCTGGTTACTGCTCTACAAATGTTGTTCTCGTCAAACGTGGTTAAATTATAGAGCTTCTGTGTGGTTTGCCTTAGATATGCCAAAATATCTAGATTTTGAAGTGCCTCAAAAGTCACCTCGCCATTCTCGAGACAGATCTCAATGTTCGATAAATCTACAATTTCAGAGCTATCATATGCCACGTATCTCAGACACTGCTCAATAAAGCCTTCCCTTGAAACATTCATGTAGTCATTGTATACCAAGGAAGTACAAGACCCTTCATCAGTATACGGAGACATTCGGCAGAGAAATTCAAGGGGTGCCTCGTCCGATTTATGGGAAAGTATCTCTACAACAGAGAGCAGATGAATGAAATCATCTTTTTCATCCATACTGTCATAATTGTAAAAATCGATCTCGCTCATGTTGCCTCTCCAATAGAGAGAATCCAGTATTTCATCACAAAGCGCTTCACTACTGGTGACATGAGAGTAGTTTCCTGGTGCTAGGCCGATATTGGCATGGAGGCTATCTGCAAATTCAATACACTGGCTTCTGCTGCTAATGACACTGTAAATGCTTGTACTTATTTGGATTACTAGTTCATTGAACAGTTCAAACTTTCCCTCATCTCTCATAAGAAGTGCCCAACTAGAAGCATTACAGATCTGCTCAATATCATTGAAGCCACCAAGCGTTGCGAATGCCCCGATCATTGTATCAGGTTCATGTTCAAAGAACGGATCTCCGCCAATGTCACCACTACCCTCTTCACCGTCAAAGAAAGACAGACATTTACCAGGGATCGATCTAACCTGCTCGGCAACGATGACGTTTAGAACCAATCCAAAGATACTGCCATGAATGCGAGATGATGGCTGGTAGTATGATAATATGAGCCCCCCAAGACTTGAACATATCTCATACTGGTCCAAAAATTCAAGAAATGGAAATCTACTTCAATTCCTGTACCGTCGAATATTGGAAACGACCAATTTCTATTCAAGTCCGGGATGAGTCCAATATTCTCGAGCACGTTCGCAGTATCATCGTATATGGGGTTGGTCCAGTTAAAATCCGAGTCTTCAATTGGTGAAAACGGGACAGTTATGTTCTGAACATATTGTATGGGTCTACCTTCTTCACCTCCAATGAGTGTTTCAAGAAAGGACCAAGAACTCTGACAAATAGAGTAGGCTTCAGCATAGGATCCATTCCGGAGAGCCTCAAGGACAGGATCACAAAGCTCTCGCATTGCTCCATCGGTAAGCCAGCTAAGCTTGGGTCCCATCTCAACGCACAGGGAACCGATCGCATGGACGAGATCTTCAGCTTGGTACATCATGCCTACTGTAGATATGATGTCACTTATGTTAAGGTCTGGTAGAAGATATCCGGGGTCGGTGAACGGTTCGACGAGGCTGAGGTTGTACGCTGGTTCCGTGGTCCATTCGACCTGCCATTCGGTGGACTCCTGAGCTCGGGCTGCCCCGGCGACCAGACAGGAGACAATCGCCACCACCACAAGTGCCTTCATTGTGGAAGCAGATGGTGATTGTGACTGTGGGTCACAAGGCTAACAGGTTGAAACTGTTGCACAATGCAAGAGATACCTCACCTGTAAAAACAAGATATATTAAAAAAAAATAGGCGATTGGCTACGTAGAAAGATCTTCTTACAACACATGTAAACTGGTTAAAAAAATTAATGTACTTAAATTTGATTTCGTGTGCCCTCGCCAAAAGAGTAAGACGGTACGTTAATATCATAACCTTTTACTCGTCAACATATTCTGGACTTTTGCCCTCTGCAGAAAAAGAAACACCCTGCATCCGCCACTCCGTTATATTCAAATTGAATCAATGTATTTGTTTATTTCATTAAACGACTAAAATGATATAATTTCTTGTTTATGCAATCGAGAGACGCGATTGAAGACAAAGGGAAATGATGTTTCGTTTACTCAGGTTAAGGTAAATTTCATATAATTATGTTGGCATTTTGCAGTTGGTATATTTTATGAGTCGGCCCATTATGCAAAATTTAATCTAAATTCATTGAAATCAAATGCTCTCGCCACTTCTCTGAATCTACTCTGAATCACAATTGTCACTATGGATGGTTGTATATCTCGAGTGCGTCGTTCGCTTTTTCTTTCACATAAATGCAATTAAGTGCACAAGGTATAATGAACCATTCATAAATGATGATTGATGCAGGTGATATTAAAAAAGCGCATTGAACATGATGAGACTGCTTGAGAGTTTACTGTACTAAATGTACTGAATTAAAATCAGGTGTTTGGGCATTCTTCCGTTTTACTTTTAATTCCGAATGTAAAAAAAAGGGATCTATATGGAATCCCCAGAAATCCTTAACGGGTATGTCATTATAGGGTATAGCTGCTATGTGCATGATGTGACTGTAAGATTGATTTAAAAAGAAAAAAGTATTAATCTATATTATCCTACACTTTTAATCGATATCCATTGCTACCAGACAGTTATTTGACATTTTCTGTAAGAGTCCATTTTCCCCCTCTTATTATGATTTTGGAGTAAAGGTATTCTATGTAGGTTTGTTTTTAATACTTAATTCAATGCAGACATGCAGCATGCAGACCAAGAACAAGAACAAATTGTTTCATATATTTGTTATGATTTTTGATACTTTATATTTTCTTTTTCAATTAAAATGAACAAAGCATTGACAAAAAGCAATCGATACAATGCAATTTTAACTTCGTTTTCAGCCTCCGTCTGTACTGGGAGTATACAATTATAATGTAGTTTAAATTAACACAATCTGCGTTAGAATGGACCTAATAGCATTTTATATTATTTTCTGTACCCCCGATCTCTGACTTCTTTTTTGGCATTGTGTACTCTTTGTATTGTTACCGTGTTCTCATATCTTTGTCATGTAAAGTACTATCTTGTTCCGTGCTCGTCTCTGTTGGCATCCCCCTTTCCCCTATTTTTTTAGGTCCTTTTGTACTTACGAACTTGTTAATTTAATAACTCATAATTCCTAAGTATCATTTGAGGTGTCCACATTTGTACAAGCATTGCTTTTTAGTGGACCATTCTGTTTTCAATATGTATTCCTAAATTGTCATAAATGTTTATAATTGATTTGTAATGCTTTGTTGGAAACATAAATAAATTGAATCGAATTGAATAGGTCGGGACATATGTTAAATATCGAATAACATTAACCCCCCCCCCCCCCCTCCTCATTTTTGGGAATATAGACGGGAAGCTAGGAATCATCTTTATTTGGCCTTTTTACAGCGGGTCGGCGATCACTGGATTCCACTTCACCTCCCGCCATGCAGACAAACATAACTTCCAGTGAAAGCGAATGTTTAGTGTTGTTAAACGTGTTGCTATGCGACCAGCGTAAATAATCGAATAGCACACTGTTTTCATTCTCCGTGGTTACAGCGCACAAGCAATTGAGAGATGAAAATTCAAAATTGGTGTTCCAAAATTGTCTGATATCTGGATAGAATAGAAAACTGCTCTGACACATTATGTAAATCACATGGATCTATACGTTCTTATACAAAAATATGAAAAAATGTGTTGATTGTGTCTTCGCTATTAAAAATGGCAACAATACAACCTTGGTTGCAATCCCTGGATAGGATAACAATGGCGCCGCTAAACTTTCTGAATACCCTACTCAGATTGCCTCCAGGGCATGAATCGATCGGTTTTTAATTAAGTATGAGGTCGCATTGGTGGGGTGACTCAACTTTGAAACATGGTTGATCTGTGTGTTTGCAGGGGAAAGGTTTGCAGAGAAAATGAGAGTATGCGCATGAAAGTTGATTTCAATTTGTTTTAATATTCAATGATCAGTCCCTCCACCATTAAATGTCTCAACCGATTTCGATTAGAAAAGAACTTGGTCACTCTTCATGATATCAGGCATAGGTCCTATTCTCAGATTTCGCACATCAGGCTCAACTGCAATTCAAGAGAAAAAGTAAATATGAAAGTATAGGTCTCTATGGAAAGACTTCTCATAAAATGTCTGAAATAGACTGGGCTTCACATGTTTTAAAAAGTTATTTGATGCCTTTTGTTGGCAAATTTATTAGGATTTAGGAGAGAGAGAGAGAGAGAGAGAGAGAGAGTGGCGAGTCCAATATTCTCTCGGGGAGGGGAGGGGCACGTGTCTTTAAGAAAAATTATGACAAGCAAGCAATAACAACACAAACAAGGTAAAATGGGGGGGGGGGGGTAAGGTATCAGAAAATAAAGGCTCTCTTTTATGAATATTTCTTTAAAGCTAATCTGCCATAGTTTACAGGAGGGATTAGACCGCCCTGCAAGGTCACTGGACAGGTGGTTATCTCATCAACTCAGCTCTCAGTTAACATAAGCAAAAGAGGATTATGGGGGACCAATGGTCACCGATTAGGCATTGTTTGTTATATAGAGGGCGCAAGTAGCTACAAGTAGTGCAGTGGGCCTTTAAATCAATATTCCAATAATTGCAATCAAGTTACTTAATTCTTCTTCGACGTGTAAAAAAACTACTACTGACTATGAAGATATATTAAATCGACGGCTGCAGAGATAAAAAACATGTGACGTACAAGAACAATGTACAGGTCAAATGTATGTACATCACCACAAAGGGTATGCTATATACAGTTTACATTAAGAGGTAAATTACACAACCATCCCACCCCCCCCCCCCCCCAAGAGAAATAAAATGGTATGCAAACGTCCCTGTCGCGCTACAAAATAACAACGTTTTCTCGATAACCCGTGGTACATCTATCATTATAGAATTCTGATTTGAGTGCATGCTTTTTTTAAAAACATTATTTCATTTAACACATTTAATCATGTCATTGGTCAATCAACATTACAGAAACAGGTTATACCTTTCGCAATCTTTCATATTCAATAGTACTTCGCGTTGAATACATCTCCCTTTTTTTGCTTTGCGATTTCATGACCCGCTTAGCAACGAAAAGGTGACATCGCCATACTTCTCTTTATTTATGATTTATCATGTCTCTTCCTGTACATGTATAGCAGCGGGGGCCGTGCCACCGTTCACTGTTTCCGCTACCGTATCCGCACACAATGAACATCGATATTTGGTTTGGAGCTCTCTCTCTCTCTCTTATTGCCCTATACTCAATAATCGTCACTATCATCCTTGACGCATAACCAACCTCGAGTTGCGTCGTTTCCGTGGTACTGGATAATGATCAATATTTGACGATATTCTGTTCATTTGATGCAGATCATAATGAATTTCGAGTGTTGTGTCGTTTCCATGGCATTAAATAATGATCAATATATTTTGGACCTTGATAATATTCTGTTCATTAATTGGAATGAAACCTTAATTTGTTAACGATTACCTTAATTAAATTTCAGCAGTTATCTCAATACGTACATTTCTGTTTTACGCTCATCTCTGATTTTTTTTTACTTCTTTTCACAAAAGGATTTTGACAGTATGATTTATTCTTGGTGGATAAATTTAACTCTTCTCATAACATTACAGGTCAATCTATATGACTGTCAAACATAATTCCTAGAGTTCTGAGAAGATATCAACTTTCCCAATCAAGAATTAATCATATTGGCACAATCATTTCATGAAAAAGGGTAAGAAATATAAAATAATAATAATAGTCCGTTCTTGTATAGTACATATCAACTCTCTATGCGTTTCCAAAGAGCTTTGGAAATTATTATCCTAGCTGTATGGGTAACAGTGTACATTGGAACAGTGGCATGAACTAATTGTTATTATTAATTTTGATATTAAAATATGAATAGCAATAGATTAAAGAACAAAACTGTCAAATTGGCATACTGAATCTCGATTTTGCGTTAAGATATCATCTACGCCCATTTATTTATAATTTTACTGTGTAGTTGTCAAAGAACCGGCCAATTCTTTCACGTTTTCGACGAATAATGGGGAGAGTGCAGTCAAAGCATATGTTTTCAAGAAATTAAGATACTAATGAAGTGAAAGAAAAATATATAATGCATGTATGCTTTGAATTCATGTTTTGATGCAGGGCTCTCTTGGAGAGCAGGTCCAGAAATGGACTTGAAATGAGACCGCCCGGTTGAAATAAAACTATCATCATAATAATAATAATAATAATAATAGTATAACCGTATGAATGGTTTGGGATGTTTTTGTTTCCTTCAACGATTCATTGAGTACTGAATCTTTTTGAGTCGTCATGAAAACAATTTTCCAGGGATGTTTTTTTTTTATACAGTATGATTATTGTTTGAAATAATGACCACGGCAATAAAAAATCAAGAGTTCACCCTCTCTCTCTCTCTCTCTCTCTCTTTCTTTCTCTTTCTCTTTCACTTTCTTTTTTGAACGTTCAACATTAAAATGTAGACGTGGCAACTTTTATGTAGGTAAACACAGAAATGACACATTACTTAAACCGAAATTGATGGATTAGCAATTTTGAATAATTATATCTTTGAAGAAAATGTGATGTTCTTGAGATACATCTTAATTTCGTGGACGAGTGGATATGTCACCGGACTGTGGATCACAAGGTTCGCGGTTCAAGTCCCACCGCGGCACTAATGTCCTTTGGCAAGACATTGATCTACATTTGCCACTCTCCACCCAGGTGTTAAATGGGTACCCGGTAGGATGCGAAAGCTAATGTGGTTAGATTAGCAAGTGTGCGCTTGTAAAAAAAGACGCCTGGCTGGAATGCTCCCCAGGGAGTGGAGAATGTGCATACATTGTGTGCGGGTAAGCCTGAATCCTATGACCGGGGTAATAATATATACATCTGTAAAGCGCTTTGAGAGGGCCTCCGGTCCTGAAAAGCGCTATATAAGAACTAGCTATTATTATTATTATTATGACTACAGCTATGTCAATTTTCTGCCTCAATCTGCTTCTTATGGGGTAGCAAAATCAGAATATTCTGAACATGCCATTAAATTATCGAGGCAGCTTTTTCGACTTCCTTACTTTCCCGACGATACAATTCGGGCGAGTATATATATATATATATATATATATATATATATATATATATACGTGGGGCAAATCACAGGTATTGAGTTGGTAACTGAATCTCTTGCATGTTCGAAACTAACAAATGGAGCAAGAATACGACTTCATCATTTAGGAGAGGAAATAAAATGACAACAGAGAAATTAAAGATTAAAACGAAATCGCAAATATATGTGTTTTTGTAAAATTGGCCCAAATACATGTACGAAAACTTTTGAATTCAGGATTTTTTTTCTATGACTACTTAAAAGCTAAATGAATACATGCATCTGTTCCCGGTATTCATTCCATCTTGAAGTCTGTCACGGGCAATAAGAAATAATTTTTCAAAATGGCACCTCTCAGCGAATGTGTTAAAATACTGGAACAATGAAGATGAAGTCAAACCAAGAACACTTCATAATTTCGTTAGCATTGATTTGGATCCATCGCCGATTAATACTTGAGTCATGCCAATTTCCTTGAAACATTTTGGACACTTTTCCCAGGATGTAATGCAGTTCCTTGTCATTTTACATGTACATCATGATGTTATTCCTGCGTTTCTGTCTTCATTCACCCCCGTTTTAAAGCAGCCATTTAGGCATGCAAATTTAAACTTTTCGGATAAAAATAATTTAATTCAAAACTAATGATTCATCTTATGAAAGTCCAAATTTCTCATCCCAAAAGAAAAAATAGTAAATATCTCAAATCCAGATAGCAAAATTGACCTTAAACATTTTTGATGGCGAAAATTGTAGTATCTCTTTCGAATAAACGGAGATTTTGATTCTTAGAGAGAAATTCCGTGCGTGCGGGAAATGATAACCAATCCTAGCCACCATTCACCAATCAGTTGGAAGAAAAAGTGAGAACCTTAATTAATGACCACTGTGCAAAGTTTGCTTATATGGCATAATGACATATGACCAATTAGTTGGAAGAAACTTGTCTACGAGTAGGCTAAACAGAGAATGGTTGCATTTCAAAAGAATCTCATCTCTGGTATACCAATGCCATTGAACAAAATAAGTATAATAATTAAGTCATAATCAATGCAATAATAAAAGTGAGTACACTATATTGATAGAAATGCTGAATGATTGTCTTACAAAGTAGTTGTTATGTTTAATCAAATATATTCTCTGATCGTGTTCATACCTTAGACTATAAATGCCATGAGATAGACAAATATGATACGATTGCAATATTACAACTTTACTTTTTAGAAATCAACAAAATTAAATTTCTTTCAGACCTTTTGAATAACGTCTCATCAACACACTTCATTCAGCATATTCAAATAATAATTTGTATTTCTTCTTTTTGAGCATTAATTGATGAGTCTATCGTTAAATCCGCTGGCCGAAGTAGCTTAAATTGAGAAAAATGAAAGTTACTTACGATTCGGTGTAATTCCAGAGTCGGGGAAAGTGGTGCAATAATTATCAAAAAGCAAATATTAATCCGAGGGTTTTATTGGCGACGTGCCCAACCTGAGTAAAAGCCAAATGTGTTGCATAGCTTGAATCAACCAAGAGATGAAAGCCATTGCTTGGCATCGAGCTATGACGTAAACAGATTATCTGCCCAACCAGAAGAGCTGAAGGACCGGTTCCACTTCACTGATAACGATACCTACAACTACGCAGCAACTACGCCGGTTTCCTGAGGTTCATGCAAATACATTGTATTTTAATATTTCGGTTTTCGATTGAGTAGAGACATTGTCATGGAGCAAATGAACGATCACCGATAGAAGTAGTTGGTTATTTGCTATTTCAAAGATATTGGATTAATTACGGAATATAATTTTGGATTCCGCCGAGGCAACCGCCCACAAAGCATATCGGTGTTGTACATGGGTTTATGATTAAATTAATGAGCCTTCAACATCGATTTTCTCGCATAAAATACATCTTCTGCATAAAACGGCAGGATACAATGTTATAATTAAGGTTATCGTTAATAATTATCGATGAAGTGGGACGGTTCCCTAGCCGTGAGGTAGATATACAAGAGTGTGCGCAGTGGAAGTGCACACTCGCAAAAGATCGCGAGGGAACCCGGCTCTAACATGAACATTTTGAGAAAAACGACAGAAATTTATTCCCTTTTTTACGGGTTCTCCCCCTTTATTTGTGGATTCTTTCCGTAACAACAGCATGAAAATATTGGATTATTCATATCAAAGAAACTGAGGCCGTTTCTTGCTTTTTCATTTCAACGGTATACAAAATATTGAAGTTATCTTTTGTCATCCAAAATGTACGATAATACCAGCAAATCTTAACCATGCATTCTAGATGTGAAAACAGTCGACAGGAATTTTCATTCCAGGTATTAAAAAGTACATAACGGAATTGCCAAATGGCCCTAAAATCGACTACTGATATGCACTCCACCTACACAGTCAGACCGCAGCGCCCTGATAAGTGTTCGTATTTATCGTACTCGTATGCACGCCAAACGGGGTCATGAATACGTAATAAGCCAGTGCTCTTTGTCATTTGAAACATTAATATTACCAATACGCTAGGTCAAAACCTATCAAAAGTGCACATTTTCTGAAAGAAGAAATCTTGCTCTTTTTTATGAAATGAAAATCCGCTCTGATTTAGAAAGTTGTAGGCATTTATTTTCGGATGGCGTTCTGTTTTGCGGTAGAGAAAAACCGTCATATGCAAACAAACATATGCTTCAATTTCCATGATTTTTACCTCGACTCAACATTTTGGGGGTGTTTCAAGCATATTAGATATATACTTGGCCGAAATATGGCGATAATTTGTCATTTTGTTATATGCACGGGTCAGGATCACTGAACTTGCCACTTTTCAAATTTCCTTTTCTTCTTCAGTTCTGGTCTTTCCTCTCTATTTCTATTTCACTCCCACCCCCTCTCTCTCAGCTCTGTCTCTCTGTCTGTCTGTCTGTCTGTCTCTCTCTCTCTTTGCTCTCTCTGCCTCTTCCTCTTCATCCCTTCTTCTCTCCTTCCTCCCCTCTGTTTCTCTCTCACACTTTCTGTCCCTCCCTCCTCCTCTCCACCTCTTTTCTCTTATGATGTTTTACAGTACAACATCCTATAATTATATGTTATTTTTTACTGTGACCAATAACACCTAAGGAATTCCATTTCTTATTGAAAATAATGATAAATTGAGGCTTAGGTAATTATCAGTATGTTATATGTCATGTATTTCAGCAATATAATTATGTGCAATATTAACTGCCATGATGATTGGCATAGCGGGTTCTTCCATTCATTCGTATTTTTATATTGCATGTACTTTTATCCTTCCTCTCATTCCCTCATCCCTTTTCTCTATTCGAACTTGCTACTTTTCAAATTTCCTTTTCTCTTCTTCAGTTCTGTTCTTTCCTCTTTATTTTTATTTCACTCCCATTCCGTCTCTCTCTCTCTCAGCTTTATGTCTGTCTCTCTGTCTCTGTCTCTCTCTCTCTCTGCCTCTTCCTCTTACTCCCTTCGTCTCTTCTTCCTCCTCTCTGTTTCTCTCTCTTACTTTCTGTCTCTCCCTCCTCCTCTCCACCTCATTCTCTTCTGATGATGTTTTACAGTACAACATTCTTTAATTATCTGCTATTCTTACTGTAACCAATAATACCTAAGGAATTCCATTGTTCTCAAGTGCAATATGTTTATACATTATACTGTACTCATATCACGCTTGTGATTAGCACACTGCCAAGACTCCAATTGTAATACTTTTTAATACTTTTTAATACTTTTTAATACTCACTATACCTTCTAAATGGAATTTGTATTGCATTTTATTACAATTTTTCCAATGTTACAGTTAATTGAATTCACGTATCTCTATGCATTTTATTTGTTTATATGTAAACATTTATTCATTTTTGCTAGCAATATTTCATATCTTGTATTTTTTTTAAAATCTTTTTTTTCCTTTTTTTTTTCTTGTTACTACTTTAATGTTTTGATTTAAAAATGTATTCATTGTTATATATTTGTCCTCATTTGCTATGTTATCTTTATGTTTTTGATTGCTTTTTATATTGATGTAAACTTGCATTTTTAGTCTTCGGACTTGTTGACAAGTAATGAATAAAACCTTATTTGAACTTGAACTTGAACTTGAACGTGATGCAATACGAGTGGTTTTGATCTTTGGTCGACTTCAGGAAAAGCAGCTTTAGAAAGTTCGCTGTAGCCAACATGAGTTTTTGGACCAGAACAGTTGATAAATCTCACCATTTTGTTCTGTATAATCTTCAACTTCTTTTGATCTGACTTGTTTATGTTACTATACCATGCAGGGTTAGCATAGTCAAATAAACATTGAATAAGAGCAAACAGAGTGTACGTCTTGCTTTTAAATCCATGCAACTTTGATATCTGTACAAAAGTTTCAGACGAGAATTTGCTTTTTTTACAACTGATTCTACTAAAGATGAAAATGTATAATTGCGCTAGCCAACTCAATGCCTAACTACTTCACAGAATCTTTTCTCTTGATTACTTGATTATGTTGTGTCACTTTGAAATCAAATGACTTTTTAGAACTACTATAGAACAACAAAAAAATGCTTTCTGTTTTTCCCAAGTGTAAAGAAAGCTTACTATTAGTCATCCAATCGACACACGTAGACAGCTGTTCACTGAGCTTTTCCTCAATATATTTAGGATCAGGATTTAAATAGAGTAGTTCGCTGCCATCTGCGTACAATAATAGTTTTAAGTCTTTTACATTCAGTTCCGTAAGCATGGTATTACTCGTTAAAAGTTATGTTTGATTTAGGTAGTTTTAGATTCGATAATCACGCAATTTGTTGTCCAAAATCAAAAAAAATACAAGGGTACATTTATTGCTTTATCATGATACATGTATAATGATTCTCGTGTATCTTCTCCGCAATTTCGATTTTCTGTTTCATTATTATGCATTGATCTCGCGGAAAGGTACACTGAAAAAATAGGTCATTTGATGACTTGTTGTTCGCAAGTAACGTTTTCTCTAGCCTCGGATGTTACTACAACGCTAGTTTATACAATGTAGGTCAGCTTCTTTATTGTCCGCCAGTGTTTTTGTCTCTTTCACCTGCGCTCAACCTCAGAACGGACAGCGTCGTGAGTTGTTATGGTGATATTTAGTCATGAAGTTTGTTTATCAGTGTTTACCAATTACGTATGTCAATAACAAATGGAGGAGGAGAAGGAGGATGGAAGGTGGTGAAGTGGAGCACAATACGCCAAAGAATAAGTTTACAATTATCAGTCTATTAAATGTAGTATATCTCATTTGCAGGCCCCCAAAAAAGAAAAGGTTAAATTCCAACGGCATTTGAAAGATAATCCTTATTAATACTAATTTAGAATTTCTCTCAAAACGAAAGGGGTTGAAAATGTCTTTCAGTCTGAAAATAATGAGCAATAGTTGTCGAGTCGACTTTGGTGATTGCAATCATTTTAACAATAGTCTGATTTTCAGACCCTTGTATCGAATGGTCGTACGTTTTGTGCTGTGCATATATAGATTTGATCAGTTTAATGTTGGCCAATACAAAAAGCGGGTTATTGATGAAGACAAATGCTGATGTATCTTTACAGCTCATTTTATGTATGTTATTACCAAAATAGAAAAAAAAGTCAGTCAATCATTCAATAGTGTCTGACAGTGAAGTCTATAAAGTAAACGGTTTCATTACATCATTTGAATAATAGGATACTGCTGACGTTTAAATTTCACAGATAGGACATACGTGACATATAAATAATTCCTGAAAAGATCTACATAATTTGATGTTGGCTGTGAATGGAACAATATATCTTTAAAGACCTTTTGGGATCAAGTTGAGAATACTCATGGAGCTGAAAGCGGAAACGTGAATCTTCTTTCTTTTTTTAAACTGGCGCACTATGGTGGCAGTAGTCCTTATTTCACAAATACAGAAGTCATTAGAAATAACCATTACAAAATGTTTAACAAAATGATCCCACTCCATAACAAAGAAAACAATTCGAATTTTGTCCTCCCTTCGTTTGGCTTACTTAGGAATGTACTACCATGGGTGTAGCATGAACATAAAACTATTATTAATTTGATTCTCAATGTCGAGAAAAATTGCCATGTCGCTTTCCTTTTTCATTACTTTTCCGGGTATATAATTCTTCTTTCAATCAATCTATCTATAGACATATTGCTCCGATTGTCTCATTTTCGCTCGCGTGAACATTGCCAGCACAAACCACTGACCTCTACCTCCTGAACGGATCATCGCACATTCCCATTCACTATACGTTACGTACTAAAAGGCTGTATTGTCTGACCGTTCATGAATATTCATGTTTCGCTAAACTTGGCAAAATGTTTGCTTTTACTAAATGGAAAAATTACGGTGGGGGGGGGGGGGGGTTGGATGAAATGGACATAATGAAATAGGCAGAAGTGATCTATGATAATTCATGCTTTTTATGTTTCGTGTGCTCGACCTATAAT